CCTGCAAAGGGTTTTTTTTTTTCATGCTAAGCGTAATAAGTGTAGTATGTGGTTTTCAAGCTACACTTAAATTGAACTAGTGTATATGTAAGTTAAAATGCATGTATTTGAAGTTCCAGCTTAGGAGGGGGTGGAAATCCTAAACAGATTGAAGCAAGGAAATGAATAGTTAGGGGAATGTCAATAAATATTCAGATATCCTCACAGTTTCTTAAGTAAATGCACATTTGTAAAATATCACATTGCATATTCCAAACATAACTTTAACTCTGTCCCTGTATCCATTCCCAGTTTTATTCTGTAGACCAGAAAACCCCTACAGTCAGTTACTCTGCATCCAATAAATTCTGAATATGAGTTACAGCCATCATGCAATATGGTTATGTTGAATATTTTTACTATTTAATAACAGACAAAGTGGATATTTTATTTTGGAATCAAAGTGCTGTTATGTGGATTTATGGTTTATAAGGTTGGCAGTGTTTCTGAGCACTTTCTTTTCCAAAGTACATAAATATAATGTGGTAAAAGTTTTGTTTCTAGCTTATAAATGTAGTTAATCATCTGTTCAAACAATAAAAAAATTCTATTTATTAATGGCCAAGAAATGCTAGGGGTTTGGGGTTTTTCTTTTTCACAAGAGACTCATTTAAGACAACGGGATGAAATGAATAGACAGTGAATATCACAATGGTTTAAGGGAGACATTGCGCATCAGCTGATCATGTGGAACTTCAATCATTAATCCATTAAAATCGTTACTGCCTCTGAGTCTTATTTAAAGGTCACGGTCTTTTTTAAGGATTTTGCTGCTGAGCGAAAGAGCTGTTGGTGTTTGATCTGTGCAGTCCATGCACGGATATGCGTTCACGGACTGGTATGCCAAAGTATGTTCCCCTTCGTGGAACTTACAGAGCTGAGCAGTGGGTGGGCAATAACACGGGAGAGGTCTTGTGGGCTACCTGAGGATTTGTATTGATCGTTCTGTTCTTACATCCTGTTTTTTATCATGCTTACAGTATAGCCAAACATGTCAGGCAATTAGACAAGTGCAGACCTGGTCCTGCTTCATTATTTGACTTCCTGCAACTAATAATGAGATTTTTGAAAGATTTAATACTATACCATTGAATATGAAAGACGTTTGGAGGCCTGTATGTGCAATGGGATTAGGTGTGGTAGATTAAATTTGTCCTGGCATCCTTATTGAAGCCTCCCTGTAGGCACTATCAGCTGTAATCAGCACTGTTGCCAGAAATAACATTGCAGTGTCAGAAACAGGGGTGTTTTAAAGGTATAGCCAGGGGACTTGAAGTATTCACTTATTTGTTTAACTTTAAATTAAGAAAGATCCATGAGATTCTTTTTCTTTTCTGGATTATTCATTAATTCTGTCGTTTAAATTCTTGTTTATGTTCTGTATAAACACTGCTGGGTTCCTAATGACCTATAACCACTTAGGAAAAAGCTCAGGTTTGTTATGGTGCACTGAAAATGTCTCCTCAATGCACAGTAATGGTCTAAAAACGCAACAAATTGTTAGCAGGATTCAGAAGAGGAGGAAGAATACTTAAGATAGAACTGTATCATTGTATAAGTCAATGTTATGCGTGCGCTTTGAACAATGTGTTCTCTTTCATTGGCTAAAATTTCTATTTCTGCTCTCTTTTCGGTGATTATAAGGACTAAAAATGATCAACCAAACGTCAACAACTGTGCATCTGCTATGACAGTCAGATCATTACTACAGTAGTGATTCCTAGCTTAAGAACACATTTTGATTCTCAGAAAGATACCAGATATACAGTGATTTTGAAATTCCTGGAAGAGTCTGTTCTTCATGTTATTTACTACGTCTTTCCAGTAACACTGTGGCTGTAAGAATAAAGCAAGTTAAATTCAGCACATACTTAACCTTTTGTCACTGATTTCTCCTTCACTGAGAGACTGGCTACTAGGCCCAGGTATTGGGTACTGACCCTGAGATCAGTGTTACCAAGCAGGAGCAACGTTATGAATCTAAAAATTAGCACCCTCTTTGATAAATACTTAAAAGGATTTATCTGTTACTGTTGCCAGCTTCAGTACACGCTTCACTATGTAATTGAAGCCTATAATTATAATTAATAATGTAACTGTATAGAGTTAAGAATAAATTTTCTATTCCATTTTTTATCTTAAATAAGGTAATGTATATTTATTTGTAGAATACAGTTCTGGCCATTGCCAAAGACAGACTAACAGGGACCAATCTTGTATGGCAGTTCATTGTTCCTGCCATTGAATAGATTGATTTAAAAAAAAGACAAAAACCAGTAGATTTCCTAAATAGTAATAATAGTGAGATTATTACAAGTGAAGTAATTTAAAGCTAGTAAATGCATTTTTGTTTGTGCTACTTACTTTTAGTGTTTCTCCTCTTTTGGACAAATTGCAATTTGCCAGTCAATTTCAGTTTGGTTTATAGACCTCATCTGCCTACGGGGTTCCATACACAGTGCTGTGCCACATTATATGGATTACAAGTACTATCCATAATTTTTGTATGTCTTTCCTCCAGAGCATGAAAATTAGCACTAAAGCCCTAGTTTTAGTTTTAGGAAAAGTTTTTTTCAGTCTAAAGGGATATTATGGTGTCACTTTCAATCTCTCCTGTGAAAACTAAATTTCTTTCTCTTGCTTTCTTTTATGTTCAAAAACTTAAATAATTTATTACTGCAAAGGAATGTGTGCTGAATCCAGTAACCAACAGAGGATGTGGAAAGATTTATTGGGAGAAACAGTAAGAGCATTCCTGGCCAGGTGTATTTTTTTTCTTTTTTGTGAAATGAGGAAAAAATTATACACCTCCAGCCAACTTCAGATATGGCTGGAAGCCCATTTGGAAAACATGGTGTCTGTAACTGTGAAATGCTTCTCAAGACAGAGTAAGCAAAAGTGGTGAGTGGAGTGAAGAGATTGGCACTGCTCAATGTCAAGAAATGTGTTGCTAGATCTTGAAAACGATTTCAGTGTTTGCTCTCTGAAGGGTATATGCACATGATTTCCACTCTCCTTGTACTTTGAATGGCTATTTAGACCTGTAGGGAATGAGGGAGTGAAACCCCTATCAAATTTGAGTGGTGGATTCTGACTTTTTCTTTGCACCATGAGCCCGCAATAAAAGATCCCAGAGAAGCAGAACCTAACGAGAATAGTTCTGTACTTCTCGCTTACCTGAATTCTCCATTCTTGTTTAGCCAGAGTGTGAAGTGCAGGATCTGTCCTTCAGCAAACGGTAGACACAGCTGTGATGAACATTGTTACTCTAATACAATTTTTTAGACCACTAGTAAATAATTTTACTGCATATTAAAATATATAAAATGAATTTATGAGGTGTGTAATCTTTTGGGGAGGGGGGTTACAAATTGGAACAGTTTACTTATTCAGTGAATTTTAGAACAAAATTCTACTCAGATACAAACATCCATTTTCCTGGAAAGATAATAGAGTAAACTATTATCTAATAAACTAATAAACTAGCTATTTCAAATTCTACCCAGTTCTCTCTCTGGCACGTTTCCTGTCATTTACATAAAGCACAGAGTTAATAAGAATGTTATAATACATAAAGCTATACAATTTGCAGTGTTTCAGGGATACTCTTCAGAGATACCTTTCCCTCATCATTTTTTCCTTTAATCCCAACTTTTAAAACTCCATTTTTCCTCCATACTAGCAGTATAGGGCCCTTCAGCAGTAGTCTTATTCCTTAAAAAGCAGTGGTTGACATTACCTTTTTGTTGACATCATTTTCTCTTTCTCCGTTAATGCAAGTTTCTTAAAAGTGTTATTTATCTACAAGTACTTCCTTGATTTAGCAGCTTAGAAAAATGGTGGTGAAAGGATTTACAATCAAACTACTCCATCTTCCTGCCCCAGGCAGGACTATGCCGTACTTGCATCATGTTTTACATGTTTGTCAGACCTAGCCTTTAAAAAACAAAGCGAAGCAAGCAAAAGACGCTAATGATGGAGTTTCCTTCATCTATCAGTAGTCTGTTTCACTACATGCCGATCCTTATTGTTAAAACAATTTTCCTAACTTCTGATATATATCCCAGTTTAATTTCCCTTAAGCCTGTTACTTCTGGTTTTGCCCAGTGTGGGTATGGGCAGCAGTTCTGACTCTCTCTTTGTAGCACATCTCAGGTATTAGAAGCTCTTCTAGACCCCCTTTAGAGTTCTGTAGACCTTTCTTTTTCTCTGTTGCTTCACAGAAATTGTTTCTTCCTATTTCTCTCTGTTTCAGGCTACACCTATTGATTTTTTCCCAATGCGCAAATGAAAATATTACTGGGTGCACTAGTCCAACCTTTTATATCCAATACAGTTAAGAAAACTTGGAAATCAGATAAAAGTCTTGTTCAAATCTGATCTGGAGTGCTAAGTTAGAAGCAGAGAATCAAAGTTCCATTTTATTGTTTCTTCCTGTGTTGGTGTCCATACTTGCCTATCAAAGCCACATTTTTAGCTATTTGGTATAAAGAATAGCCTAAACTACTGAAGCACCGGTGCTTAAATATGTTTCAGTTTGTGAGTTTAAGAAGTGGGTTGTAGGATACAGATGGGAGTTAGCAGGTGCTTAAAGTTATAGGTCCTAACTATGCTGCTTAATTAAATCATACATTTTATTCCAATATTTACCCCAAATTTGGACTACCTTTAGATTTTAAAAATCAGTTAGGAAAGAAAGTGATGGAATTAGGCTTCTATTTTGGCCACTTCTGGATAGATGACATTAAGTTCAGCAATTGAAATATATTCCATTTCTTTTTAAGAATTTTTCTATGTTTGCTTTAAGAGTTTTTCTTCTAATAAATGCAAATAAATGTGTTTTGATTTTTTTTCCCAGAAATCATAAGGTAATTTTGTATAGTTGAAAATGGATCTTAAACATTTACTTTTTGCACCTTTGTTAACATATTGTTTCCCCTATCTCCTTTTTTTTTTTTCAGGACCATTTGCCACTTCAGGAGGTGGTAAATTCTGCTGCGGCTCTTATCATGGCAGTAATAAAGGACAGAAACCCTGAGCTGATTGGTCAGCTTTTGGTAGCATAAGATCATAATCATTTGTAGCTTTTAGAAACGTTTCTTTTCACCATGCATTCACCAAAGGTCTTGAAACATATTTTACCCTTTGATGAAAACTCTGGATTTATGACATTTACTATTAAGATCTTTTAACAACATATTTTTATACTTAAAATGCAAGTCTATGTTGTGTATATAAGTGTAAAGTGAAATATAAATCATTCTGAGATGCACTGGATACATACTTTGAGGAATAATACTGAAACATTTTTTTATGAGATATCGATCATTTAAAAAGGTGCACAGAGGACACCAAAGCATTCAGTCGCTGTGCAGAATTGGCTTTGACACCATTGCACGTGTGTTGTACTCTAAGACTGTATTGTGAAGTTTTGTTTAAGTTAAAATAATACTTAAGCACAACTCTTGTTCTTTACATGAAAGTATTTTAAAATTGCTGCTATACCTATTAGTGAACGTAGTGTTTATTATGCAGAATAGCCTTTCTGATGTCAATGTGAACACACATTGCAATAAGTGTTTGTAGGCTCAGGTTCCTTTATAAAATTAAGGGTATCCTTGCCTCAAAGAAAAGATGTGCATATGGATATTGAAATGCTACAGCCCAATTTTCTGCATAAGGTATGCTCTGAATGGAGCACTTCTTAGATGCTACACTTCTTTTAGTACCCATGTACCACCGTTCAGAACTTGCTCTGATACCACTACTGAGGTACCCTCAGTGCATGTGTGTGTGGATATGTATGTGCATGTGCATGCACATGCTTATGGAGAAGGCAAAAGACCAAAAAATATTTTCCAACCTAACCTGTAGGTTATGGAGAAATAAGAAGATTCTTTTGGTCTTTTCTTCTACACGATTGCAATTTTCATCTCGTGCTGGTTAGCATGTATATGTATGGAAGAAAACTGAGTGTTTTAAGTTCAGCTATACACTACATTGATATTTAAGTGCTGAAGGTTGGGACAGAAGGGTTAAAATGATGAATGGTGCATGAAAGCATCTGTCCCTCCCTACGCATCAGATTTTTGGAAATTACTGCACCTCTGCTACTTGCAAAGGGGCTAGGTTAATGCCTTAAGTACCTGCAGTGACGGGAACAGGGACTTAGTGAAATCTTTCCATCATGAGTGTTCCGTTCTGTTTATAGAGAGAGAGCGAGCTGTCAGTTCAGCTGCCTGACCGCTGCCTTGTTCTCATGAGTACGATTTCTCATATCTGGTAGCTAGGCACAAAGCCATGACATTAGAGAATTTGCTGACTACGTCCTCATGGGTCCTAGATGTAGAATATAATTTAGCCAGTCTTAGCCAGAAAAAAGAAATAGGCAGACCAAGTAAAGCAGAGAATGTCTATCTTGATGGCATTCAGAATGGATCCTTCTCCGTGCTAGGTAAACCTTCAAAAACCCATCTATGTCAAGTAAGGCTTCCAGTTTTGATCAAGAAATTTTTCTCTCTCCAATATCTAGCAATGGCTGTGGAAATTTCTTTCCTGCAGCTCAGCTCTTCAAGAGGACAGAGTGAGAAAAGCTCTGAGCATCGTGGTTCGGTAACACAGGGTCTTTTGTGGCAGTACACACTGAAAGAGTTCCCCGTCTTCCAGCCCTACTTCTGCCGTGTTCCTCTCCCTGTGATGCTCAGACAAAACTTAGTGAAGAGTAGGATGATCCAAGGCTGGTTTCTTTTTATTGTTTTCCTGTGCTCTGCTCTGTTCCCCACTCCTCTTCCTTTCTTTTTTTCATTCTTTCTTACTCTGTCTTGCTTTCTCTCTCCCCTTCTCTTTCCCCTTTCTCTCTTTTTCTCTCTCTCTTTCTGTCTCTCCTTCTCACTTTCTCTCTCTCTCTCTCTCTCTCTCTCTCTTTCTTTATCTCTTTCTCTTCTCCTTTTTTTCAGGATTATTTTAAGCCTGGATCAGTATCCTACAGTTGCTCTATCAACAGAGAAGGCAGCATTGACAGTAGCAGAAACAAGTAGTCTGAGATGGAATAAGTGCTCCTTAGCTGTTAAGACTGGCTTATTAACTTCTGCTGAGGCACAATCTATATCTCTGTTTTAAATCCCGTTGAGAAGCTGATGCTGATCCCAAACTTACTTCACTGCAAGATACAATAAAGAGTTGTTAGCTCTCTGTTCTGTATCCAAAGCACACATTTTATTCCACACAGAAATCATCCTAATACAACTAACATAGTTCGCATGCATCATCCGTTTCATTCTTTGCTTCTCTCTCCTCTCTGCTTTGATTAATAGTTTGTCCTTTTCTGACATTGTACGACATAAGCATTTGTATTAGCTCTGTGTATGCAATAGGCGTATTTTATTTGTATTTACTCATGCCTGTTCATTTGCAAAGTAGTCAAGTAAATGAGGAACTCAAGAATTTATTGTTGGCATTCATATTTTAACAGGACAGCTCTCACAAATAAATTTCCTGAATTCACTTTTAAATTAATTATTTGAGTTTGATGAAAGAATTTGTCTCACAAGCTTCTAAAGAAATGATGAAAGATATTTCTTTGATTATTGTATTTTGTGATTCTTTACACTTTAAGACTGAAATATTATCCATGAGGTGTTTTCCTCACATAGTAATAATAAAGTGAATTTAAAAAACCTTTTCCGTTTTCAGTCTACTCTAATACACCTTGTGCTACAACCTTAGCATTGGATTGTGTACAGCTTGTCATTTGCTTCATAAACAGAACCTTTTACTTTGTTATATTGCTTTATTTACCTCTTTATCTTAAATGAATTTTAATACAATTGAAAATGTTCGTGCAGTGAACTGCTGTATCAAAACATATTTAGTACTAATCCAAACTTAAATGGAAGATAATAAGTTTCACTAATGAACTGTTAATCATTGTATTATGGGCTTTTTTGTTTTTAGTAATATTTTAAAATAATCTATATACACCCAAAAATCTGTTATACAGGAAGCAAATACACCAACAGCAGAAGTACTAAATACGTATCTTGAAATAGTAAAAATGCAATTTGAAAGAAACTGAACTGGGATTAATGCCGTTGTGGATCCAAACCAAATTTAGATGATCTTTTGGATGAATGTTAATAGTTACAAAGGGTGTAAAGATATGAAATTAAGAAACTGATTGATTTTTTTTTCTCTACACATAGCTTCTCACGAATAGCTATATACATTAGAAACTTGGCAGCCTCTTTTACACACATGCTGTTTTGAATTTAGCTAGTGAATCAGTCACCACCCATATTGCTTTGAACATTTGGACAGAGATAACAGAGTAAATAAGAGCTCAGACTCTGCCAGCCTTGCTTACCGTACTCCTCAAGCACTCTAATTAGTATTCCTTGGGGTAAAGTGTTCATCAGAAAAAGGAGTGCAGAATCTGGCCCTAGCAATGCTTTTGGTAACTGCAAAGTTAAGTGAATTAGATTTGTGTATTCAAACAAACCTGCATCATGCGATATCTAAAAATGAAGTTGCTTCATTTCTGTTAAATCAGTTGGCAGAAGAATTTCTAACTGTAATCTTTTTCTTTAGCCTCCTAGGCTACATAGTTTGAAAAAGATGTTTTGATGGCTCTCTTAAAAAAGCTGCAAGAATGAAAACAGAAGACAGTGAAATTAAAAAACAACAACAACAACAAAGAGGTATGAAGTGAAATGTGACCGCGTTATAATCAGTGGCAAAGTTCTAGTTGACTTTAAAGCATCACAGCGAAGCTTTCAGCTCATCTTGCTAATAACACGGGCTGCAGAATAAAACCATGTCTGGACACCTTAAAGCTTTTGGTGCATTCAGCTTTGTATTTCTGTGTGACACCAGAGTCTCATCATTTCCACAATGCTATTTGAGGTGCCATCCAAAGAGCAATTTCTAAGGCTAGTTAAGATTCCCATTTGCTGCCTAGCACTTTCCAGTGGTATGGCACTTTTCCCTGGCTGCAGGTCATTGAAAGCTAGGAAGTATACCACAGACGGGTTATAGTTTTTTTGCTCTATTCTCCCTGTCTTGGACATCTGCTCCTGGTCACTGTTTTTATTTTTTTTTTTTTTTAAAGCACGTTTATTTCCAGATATACAAAAGCATTTATCACAGAATCACAGAATCACAGAATGGTTGAGGTTGGAAGGGACCTCTGGAGATCATCTAGTCCAACCTCCCTGCTCAAGCAGGGACCTCTAGAGCACGTTGCCCAGGATCACATCCAGACGGGTTTTGAATATCTCCAGGGAAGGAGACTCCACTGGCTCCCTGGGCAACCTGTTCCAATGCTCTGTCACCCTCACAGTGAAGAAGTTTTTTCTCAGGTTTAGGTGGAACTTCCTGTGTTTCAGTTTGTGCCCGTTGCCTCTTGTCCTGTTGCTGGGCACCACAGAGAAGAGATTGGCCTCATCCTCTTGACACTCCCCCTTCAGATACTTATACACGTTTATGAGATCGCCTCTCAATCTTCTCTTCTCCAGGCTGAACAGGCCCAGCTCTCACAGTCTTTCTTCATAGGAGAGGTGCTCCAGTCCTCTAATCATCTTTCTTTGTAGCCCTCCACTGGACTCTCTCCAGTAGTGCCATGTCTCTCTTAAAGTATCTCATATTTTTATGAGATATCATTTCTCCTTTCTTTCTTTTCTTCCTTTTCATCCGTAACTTTGATGTGCAAAATGTTATTCCGTCTTATCAAGATTCCACCAAGGTGTCCGGACAATGCATGTTCATGTAGTTGCGGACAGAGACAGGGTAGTTCTTGTATTCCGTTTCCATTTCATTTTTGCCATGCCTGCTTCCCCTCTGATCCTGTTAAGGAAGGTTTGGGGATTCAGAAATAGGCTCATGTTAAAAGTGTTCTTGCAGGAGCTAGGATTCAGGGCTAGAGCTATCTTTGATCTGGCCCAGTATGACCGTTCTTATAACTGGGCCAGTTAAATGACACAGAAGGAGCGTGTAATGGGATTAATTTAGCTGTTCATAGTAGTGGCTTGACCTCATATTTTTAAGTTTTTCTGATTGTTATCTCTGCTGCATAGGACAGATGCACTAGTCTTAATCGTGTCTAACTTGAAAAGAAGTATTTGTGTTATTAGATTGATGACTTCAGATGCAGCGTACTAGATGTGAGATATCTCTTTGTGTAGGTTGTGACAGAATGCTATTCAAAGGAATTTCCTCTTGTTTGTTTCAAAGGTCACTTATTAAAACCACAACTAATTCTCACTGAAACTTGGAGAGATTCTGAGACTTGTAAAAATAATAATATCTTTTAAGGGCTCCCATTGGGAACATCTATTATGAAATGTTAAGATGTTAATATTTGTTGTGATATAAAATGTTTGACTGTAAATACATTATTTACAGCCGATCTGGAAGAGATGAAGTCTGAGAAACAAAGAAAAAAATTGACCCTGCTTTCATTATTCCTGTCCGACTCATTTGATTAGTCTGATCTTTTGCACCTGGTTTGAAATAATTTGTAATTGCAGCCAGTTAGATGACTAATGCCCTTCTCTGGGTGCCTAGAGTAAGATACCTATGCAAAGTATCAAAATGAGTTCAAATCTTTGTGCCCACAATGCCAGCTGTTTCAACTTTAGACTTGTAAGCTTTTATTATGTCGGTCTCCCTCAGCCCATTCCTCAGCCCAGTTGTTTATCTCAGTTAAGTTTGTCTCATGTTGCCAACAGACACAGGGAAAGAAACAGTCACTGACACTGCATCTTCCAGTGTAAATTGACTTTGATTGACAGGGCTTTAAAGCACTTGTCTAATATACATTTTACTTGGTTATTACAGGAATACTCAATTAATTTTGAGATTTGAGAAATAAAATTTCAGAGCCTGTGCTGAGGAAAGAGTCCCAACCATGGAAGTACTTTTATGATAGAGTGTACTTGGCTTGCATACACCAACCTGAGGAGGAATGTGACATTTCTTAATTTAACTATTGTACAAGTATCTGAAGGGGGAGTGTCAAGAGGATGAGGCCAGCCTCTTCTCCGTGGTGCCCAGCAACAGGACAAGAGGCAATGGGCAGAAACTGAACCACAGGAAGTTCCATCTGAACCTGAGAAAAAACTTCTTCACTGTGAGGGTGACAGAGCATTGGAACAGGTTGCCCAGAGAGGTGGTGGAGTCTCCTTCGCTGGAGATATTCAAAACCCGTCTGGATGTGATCCTGGGCAATATGCTCTAGGTGACCCTGCTTGAACAGGGAGGTTGGACTAGATGATCTCCAGAGGTCCCGTCCAACCTAAACGATTCTGTGATTCTGTGATTCTGAGTCGAGGTCGGTCGATCATCGCGAGTCAAGGTCGGCCGAGGTCAGCCGCGTGTCGCGACTTGAGGTCGGCCGAGGTCATCCGACAGGGAGGTTGGACTAGATGATCTCCAGAGGTCCCTTCCAACCTAAACGATTCTGTGATTCTGTGATTCTGTGAACTATACTTTTCAATTTTTAAGTTGAACCAGATCTTGTCTATCATCCTGTGCATATTCCTATCTCAAAAACTAGAATTATAACACAGTTAAAATCTCGGAGTTACAAAGATAAATGAGTAAATAAGAGACTTGGACAAGCAAGAAGTGATGTGATTTTAAATAATATGGAGAACGAGGGAGGCGAGGGAAAATAAACCAAAGCTCTTCCAGATGGGCAAGTCTGCAGGGGAGACCCTTGAAGGGCATAGCATGCTAAGCACTGTGGATGGTCATGCCTTCCAGGCCCAGCAGAGCCTGAGATTGCAGCTCTGTAAGGTGTTTCCCTATTCA